GCTGGCTAATACGACGCACACACGTAGCGGGGGCAGCGTTTGGATCGTGCGGTCGTGGGGCAGCATATGCAGCATTCCACCAACACTTCTGTGTGGTATTACCTGCCGGGCGTGTGGGGTAGTAAACGGGTGAAGCAGTTCAGGGGTCGAAACAGTCCGCGGCTCTCCGTGCAATTTGCGACATTTATACGCGGGGTTAGTCTGCGTTTTATCTATTTTTCGTAGTGTCTGTAGAACAGAAAGCTGCGGCGATCGCACGATCTAACCCGTGCGCCGCTTGTCGTGTGTTGACAGGCACCGCGCGGCCGACGCTCGCCACGACGGCGCAGATGCAGGCACCTGTGCAGAGAGTGGCTCCCTCTACTGCGGGGACGACGGTGGCGCAGCGTCAGAACGGCACGAGCGCGGCGGCGGCGGCGCAGCGAGTCATACTGCAGACTCCATCAGGTATGCATGGCTTCATGGTCCACCGTGGGGCTGCTCCTCCTAGCCAGAGGTCAACTGTGGCTGTCGCGCGACAGCGGTCAACTGTGGCTGCGCGCGGCAGCGGTCAACTGTGGCTGCGTGCAGTGTGGACTCAGCATGGCCTTGATTTGTGATGAGCTTCGGCTCAACGTGAACCGTTGATTGGTCGGCCCCACGTCGCGTCTCGCTGCGTTTGCGATGTTCGATCTGAAATGCCGACGATTGTTGCACGCCCGATGATGTAAGAAATATCGAGAGGCAGGGCAGCACCTCGGTGCCGCACCGGTTTCCTCTCCCTCCGTCTCCTTCCTCAGCCTCTCCCTCCTCTCTCCTCATCCTCGTTAGCTCGTTGTCCGGCCGACCGGTGCGGTCTCTGTCGTGCAGCAGTTGGCCTGTGATACACAGATTATGAGAGCTGAGGGCATCAGTACATGAATAACGATAGCAGTAATATTAATAATAGCAGTCATTAAACACTAATATAATATAAAACAATACTATATTATATTATGATATTATATTATAATAATATATGAATTAATATAATACTGATGTTTCGTAATTAATTTTGATACACGACGTGTATGTTTAGGTAATAACGTACATTGCCCCGCTGTGTTCTTCCTGTAGGTGTGTCGGTGGCACAGCTAACAACCCCGCTCACCGTCACGTCACCCGGTGCCTCGCAGCCCATCACCGTACACATCCAGCAGACGCAGCAGGGACCGCGGCTCACCGTGCCCGCGTCACAGCTCCACCAGCTACCAGGCATCGTACAGATCGTGCAGACTCCCACGGGCCAGCAGCTGATCTGTACCTCGGCCTCCGCCGTTGCCACGACGACGCAGCAGCAGCCGATCACCGCTTCCATGGTGACAGCGCAAGGTTGGTTAACGTGGGTCAGGGTTCCCCGCGATCGTCTGCTTGCTTGATTGACGCTAGATTTCTGCCTATCCTTTGTGCTTCCTGCATTGACATTTGCTTTGTATCTTATTGACATTGGTATTTCATTTCGTTGGTTTTGTATTTCCATGTCTCTCTCTCCATGTCACTGGTTTTCTATTTCCATGTCTCTCTCTCCATGTCACTGGTTTTGTATTTCCATGTCTCTCTCTCCATGTCACTGGTTTTGTATTTTCATATCTCTCTATATTGTTGGTTTTGTATTTCCATGTCACTCTCTCCATGTTGTTGGTTTTGTATTTTTATATCTCTGTGTCCATGTTGTTGGTTTTGTATTTTTATATCTCTTCACGTTGTTGGTTTTGTATTTTCTCATCTCTCTGTCTATATGTTGTTAGTATTTCGTTGGCAGGTTTCCATGTCTTTGTGTGTCTTTGATCATGTTTGTTTAGGTTCAGATTTCCTAATTCATGTGTTCATTGCCATGATTCTATTCTAACTAAGAGATTGCTGATGCAAGAAATATAACTAAAATATATGTAATATTATATAAGAAGATAACTGAAGTAATGAAGTGAAAACGTTAACATTATAAAATATATACAATGATTATAATAAATTTGACAATGAGGATTAAACGGATCGATCGACACGTCGCTGTCAATCACACATCTCTCATCGTCTGCTACAGCTGCATCGAGGATCACGGTTACCAAGGCAACGACGCCCGGCCTGCGCATGACGACGGCGACCGTGACTCCGACGCGCACGCTCTCGTTGCCAACGACGACGACGACAGCTGCGCAGGGCGTCGTCACGACGACCGCGCCGCCGCCCGTCAAGTCGGTTGTCATGCCGACGATGGCGGTGCCTTCGGCCGCGCTCGCGCACACCGACTCTACCTCGGCCGCGTTGACAACCGTCTCCACGGCGACTCGCGCCGAGCCGTCGCCGACCGTGGCGCCATCTGTGATGAGACCAGTCGTCAGGGTTGCTCCTTTACAGCTGGAACTGAAAGGAGGTCAGTTGGTGAGCCTGCGTAGAGGGGTGCCCATCAAACGTAAGCAACGCTTCGGTGATTGTACTAATAACCCAGACTCTAATCCACGCTCTAACACCCGCACTAATACTCACTAACACCCACTCCAGGGTAAAAATACACGGGAGCGATGAGCGATTCGCTCCTCAAACCTCCGAAATCGCTCCCGTGAGGCTCAAAATGGCTCCCGTAAAAAAAATTTGACGAGAGCTATATTTTCCACAGACTTGAAAAAGAGCTCCCGTGAAAAAAAAAGTAATTTTTCCCTTGACCCACTCTAGCACTCGCTAATACCCGCACTAACCCTGGCACTAATGCCCATTAATTATCGCACTAACCCTGGCACTAATACCCATTAATTCCCGCACTAACCCTGGCACTAATACCCATTAATTCCCGCACTAACCCTGGCACTAACACCCATTAATACTTGCACTAATACCCGCACTAACCCTGTCACTAATACCCATTAATACCCGCACTAACCCTGTCACTAACACCCATTAATACCCGCACTAACACCCATTAATTCCCGCACTAACCCTGGCACTAATACCCATTAATTCCCGCACTAACCCTGGCACTAACCGGCCAGATAACTGATGCCAGCGCAGCAACAGTTGACGAGTACCAAAGCTAGTTGACGGTCGGTATGAACTATGCCGTAGCCTCTGCCACACATCAAGCCGTCGCCGGTGCTCCTACACCACACACTGACGACACGCCAACCTAATCGTTATCATCATAATTATTAATTAATAAT